CGAGGGAAATAATAAAACACTAGAGCTGTGTGAATAGCGAAATTTCCCATGTGAAGCAAATTTGAATATTGAAGTGCGAGTGCAAATCGAATCAAATATTTTGCGAATAATTCTAGAATATTTTTCTAATACTTCAAGGCAAACTTGAAGACAAAATTAAGAGAGGATTCCTAAGCACATTTTTGTGAAATAGCAACATGAATGTGTTCCTTTAGGCTAGCTAGATAATTCACAGGCAGGGTGGTGTTTCATAGTGCTCTTATCAAGAATGAGGCAATGGCGAGGCTGAATTTTATTTACGTAGACGATTTGGTGCACACAAAGTGTTGCCAACAACACCGTACACATGAAAGGCAAAGATGCTATTTCCTCAGCATATCCTCTTCTTTCAACTTCTGTGAAAGCCCAGCTGATATGATGCACAAGGGTGTGCTCCCTTGGAGTCCAGAGTTCCGAACTTGTCTCGTAGATGTCCATACACAGCCAAGCCTCGTTAGTGCATACCCACTTTAAAGGGAGATGCGGGTCGAAAAACCCGAGTTTTTTTCAACATTACCGATTTTTCTTTTCGCCTGTTTTGATAAGATTAGTACCTCTACTGTTATGAAAAAAATAATAAAGGTCAAGACTTAACTGGAAATGCTTTCAAATTGCATCTAAAGAGCACAAGGTGCCTGTTAAAAGGTCGAAAGTGTGCAGTTTTCGAGCACCTTGCCGCCGATAATGCGCCGCCGCTCGCCATTGTTGATCGCATGAGTCGAAGAGTCGAGCTTCACTCTTCAAATACCAACAGTTTCTCTCGCTAATGCAGCACAAGAAATAATAAAAAGAAGCACTCTTCTGTGTGTTTTTCGAGCGCCGCGACTGGCTTATCACATGGTACGAATCGGGGACTGCCATTGGCCGCTGCGCGCCTGTATGTGCTGTGAAACCTATTTGCGGGGTCCATGTCTTGTCGAGCAGCGCAGCTGAACAATGCTTTTCTCGTGTAATTATCTCCGTTGTGAATGAAAAAAAGCATTGCTCGCAAGTGAAAGCTGTTGCGCGGCGCGCTCTGAAGGAATAGGCTACGAGCAGCTGGCCCGATTTGCGGCAGTTGTTGGCTTGCAAAAGCCAATGCATTAAAAGCCATTCACACCCGTCATTGACTGATTTGTGGGGTTTAACGTCCCAAAACCACCATATGATTATGAGAGACGCCGTAGTGGAGGGCTCCGGGAATTTCGACACCTGGTATTTTTTTACGTGCACACAAATCTGAGTACACGGGCCTACAACATTTCCACCTCCATCGGAAATGCAGCCGCCGCAGCCGGGATTCGAACCCGCGACCTGCGGGTCAGCAGCCGAGTACCTTAGCCACTAGACCACCGCGGCGGGGCAATTCACACCCGTCAGCCGGAAAGTTCGTGATGCGGCAATAAATGACGTCAGCGCCAATCTTGAGAGGTCGAAAGAGCTCGCAGTGAGAGAACTTAGCAGGGACGACATTGCCATTATGTACGACGGTATGTGGCATAAGCGTGGCTTCAAAATGGCATGACACTGGACTTAGTTTGGATTTCGCAGTCCTGTCGAACTTCTTCCTAGCTTTCAGTTGGCACAAGGCTCTGCCAGATGGAGCGGGAGTTTGGCAAGCGCTTCATGGACCTGTCTGTGAGCGAAATGTCTGTGAGGCGTCGGCTCGAAAAAGCCGAGAGGGACAAACTCATGGTGCTGGTGTATTTTAGTCGCAGTGGCCACTACAAAAAGAATTGTTCTTTTGGGTGTGCAAATTTCATCTGATTTAATGATATGTTTCATAAATAAAAACTCAATTTTAACTTTAAAACTCGTTTTTCTCAAAACACAAATTTTGCCATTTTTATCCAATGTGTCTCACCTTTTTCAGGCACTTCTAGTGCTCGGATCTGCATGAAATTATGCCCAAATTTTTACCAAAGTATGAGAAATGCAATTATCTAGTTTAAATTTCAATATCTTATTGTACAATAAAAAATTGTATGTATACCTTTACCCTCAGGGTAGGTAAAATATGATTTTTCACGTGTATTACATATTTTGTATGTGCTTCCTAATTAGTTATTTGCACTCTACACTTTATTTGAAGCCTTATGAGCTATGAATGGTAAAACATTACAGAAGTTTAGGGATGAAAAGAGGGGGGCAAAAGGGTTAAGGTTTTCGCTTTGTCATGTTGCAGAGCTAAAAGTGTGTAACTTGCAAGAAAACTAATTTTATATTTGAAATAAGACTAAAAAGTTCCATAAACGGCTTAAGTTTCATTGCTCTAGGATGAATATTAAAAAAAAAGTGTCTTCGAGTAGCATCTCCTTAAAGCGTACTAACGGTTGAAACGTACTTCCGACGAATCCCCGACCGAGTCTCGTAGAGACTAATGCATTCGTAGACCACTTAAGCCGTAGTGTACGGCCTATGCCTACCAGTTAGTGTGTACTAACTGCGTACAGCGATAACAACTTGCATGACAAAATTTTACTGCTCCGCTAAACTTTGCAGACAACGCAATGTGCCTTGAATGGTTTTCCGTGATGTTGGTAAGTGTGGAGATCAGCCGATAAGTTATTTCAACTTCCACGCGATTGCGGCGATGACATTGCGAGTAACCATCGGGAAAAAAACGAAAGCGACGTGGCGACCAGCAACAAATGCGCAGGTATGACTTATCGCCGGCGAATAACACCCGGAGATAACCGAGGATAACATCCCCGGCTATCTGCCCAGGCACGCGTGTGACATACCGTCACTTTAGGCCTACTGCACGCTTTTAGTAGGGGACTACATGGACACGCTGGGCTGCCGATCTCTGCCGCTCCGTTTTGCGGGACTGTGTTCAAGCACGCACTGCTCTACAAAAAGGGAAGCAGCTCTCTGTCGCGAAGTTTAGCGTTGCGGATCACGAGCACCGAGAAACCTTGCTGTATTATGCCAACACGCGCACCGTACAGCGAGTGTAGCACTGTTGCTACCATGCTGCATGCTTTTGTTTAGCGATAGCCCAAATGCGCCTCCGTCCGCTGCCAGGCCTCCTAGAGCATCGCAGAGAGCACATTGGTTGCGAAAAAGCTCCTTGTCGCCGCGTTAACCCAGCAGGCTACTCGCCGAATTCGTGCATGGCCTGAAGCGGAGAGGGTGCACTCTGCAGCAAGTGAATTGGCAATCAAGGTGTGCGCAGAGTGAGCGAAGCGCTGCACGCAACTAGCCATGCAGTAAAAAGTTTGGCTCTCTGCGACTGTACCGCGTTTAAAAAAAAGAAAACTGCTTCAGTGTTTGCTTAAAAACAAACCACAGAACAACTGTATCACCAAGAGCCAAGTGTGTCCATTCTGGCACTGTACCACGCTGCGTATCCCAGATCCTGCAGCAGTTTCAATACTCTCATCGGTTGCGCGACAGTCAGAAACTTTTCTGTACTTATGCTAAAGGGAACAAATGGCTTTGCGGTGGGCATTTCAGGCAATATTTTCAGTGTCAACGAGTTTCTTCTTTTGTTAGCGGCGATGATGCAAACCAGAAAACTAGGCTTTTGCGAACATTCAAATGCTTTGAATATTCGAACAAATAGTAGGATATTCAAATTCGCTTCAATTCGAATTTAAATTATTGAAAATTTTGAAGTATTCGCAAGGAACGAATAGATGCATATCAATCTGACTGTACTGCCTGTAAAGGTAGTTTTACTGCATTGTAGGGGTGATGAACCATGAAAGCACATATGCAGGAGAAATCTGCTCTGATGCGAAGCCCCTCTACAAATTTAAAGGGGCTCTGCAACACTTTTTGAGCATTGTCAGAAAACGCTGCCATTCGGTAGTCGAGGCTGCCGCAGACACACAAGCTAAATGTTATAGCGCAGCACTCCGGTGTGCGATTCACAATGAATTCTCACACTCAGCTAAAAATTGCTCTCTTCTCTCGACAAATGACTCCACAAGCTCAGAAAGCATGCGTGATATATTTTTTTTCCCCGCGCCATCCCTCCCTGCTAAGCTTCCAGCATTTTCGTCGGGACAAGAGAGAATGCACTCGCAGCGTGCGAGAAATTTTTGCAACTCCGCGTGTACTGGACAGATTCTGAAAATTTTTGCGGCGGTGAATTCATGAGGTAATTCATAACGACTCCATTCTACGGCTTCTTGAAAGTCTGACGGCCCCTTTAAATGAAAATATTACCCTCAAACCAATGAATTTTATTGAGCTTAAAGCTTTTAATGATGGTTTATACACTCCAAGTATAATACATTTTAAAATGTTACATATTTTAAGGGTTACAACTCGCATCCTGCTGAAAGTCAAATCCTGCTACTATTCAAAGTTGTTTCAACTTCTTTTGAACGAAAAAAAAAGGCATTTGCATAGAGGCCCTATTTCAATTAAAAAAGTATTGTGCAGGTTAGTTAGGTCATGATAAATATGCCTATTTTTCTTTATAAGTCATATATAATATTCAAATTTGATTCAAAGTTATTCGACCAAAATCACTATTCCTTTCGAACCTAAAATTCACTTCTGGCACAAGCCTACAGGAGATGCAAATTTGTAGCTGGTGGTTAATGCGTAATACATTTAGTGCGTAGTTACGCCGGCGTCCCCGGCAGGTACATATTAACGGGGTTTCACTGTATAAAAACATCGCACTATAACCACTATGTCTCAGGGTACTTGCATTATTACTGCCCTAGTCAAACCACACTGCCCTCAAATCTATGAATATTTTGTAAATTAATTATACGTTACAATGAACATGTTAAAATTGGTGCCAATAAAATGAAAGATGCGTGCTGAATGCAGCAGAAGAGCAACTATGTCTAATTTTTACCCACTTTGGAAGGCAAGTTGCCATATATACATATAACATACCAATCTAACAGTCTCATTTTGCTTAACTATCAAGGTTGTGATAAACAGGTTTGACTGCTGTGTATCGTAGTACTCAACACACAAGGTGCTTCAAAATGTAGGCGCTGCAGGGAACCTACCCACAGGAATGCCCAGCAAGTCGGCTTGTAGCTGCATAAGCAAGTCGTTGACTGCCATGCCACCATCGACTAAAAGTTGTTTCAGCCGGGTCCCCGAGTCACGATCCATTGAATCCAAAATATCCCGCACCTGCAATCGGAATGATACGAGGCATAGCGAACGTCCTTGGTGCAAAGAACCGTGTCAGGCAAGCACAGGAGTGCGATATTGCATAAGACTTCGTAATTCAGCAGAAATGTGTCCGAGGTCAGACTACTCAAAACACACTTTGCATACTGGGGCCAGTTATATGCAGGAAAGTATGTACAATGAACTGAAATAGCAACCAAAGACCACCACACTGTCAAAACATTCTGCCTTCTCTTCGACACGGTAACTGTTGTTATTCAGAAGTAGCAAGTTCTAAGGACAGAAGAAATACTAACTTGTGGATCTGCTGCCACAGCTTTGTTGCTCTCTGCAGAATGTAAATATATTACCATGTGAACCAGAATATAAGTCAATTGAAAATGTATGTTGGTCTCCCCACTTCGAAAATCAAAAAGGCTGATCACTTCGTCATAGGAATCAGTACAAAACAAAAGTGAAACGTGTCTTCACAGAGGTAGTCAAGCATTTATTTTGCCTTGTTTCACCACAAGGATGAAGGAATGAATGCTATACAGTGAAATCTCGGTAGAACGAACCTACATTAACGAACTTTTCAAATTATTGAACTTTTAAAAAATCTTGCGCCGACTGCTAATAGTTTCAATGCAAAATTATTTCACTACTACGTACTTCAGAATACCGAACTTTTCAGAATAGCGAGCGCTAATTTAGTTCCGTGTTATATTAACAATGCCTTAGTACAACAAACTCATGTTCTGAAATCTATCGCGACCACCCAAGCGGTACATGAGCAGACGACACAGCGAATGGATGCCTTGCTTCTCGGAAGATGCACGACGGTGCTGTGGGGAAAAAAAACGAAAGGACAACTTTTTTTTCTTTCTTTTTGTTGAAATGCCGAAGCTACAGGTTTAAAGTGCTGAGGTGAGGGACGAGGGCAACACGAGAGGGCAAAGTCAGCGAGGCAGAGTGAGAATGGTAGAGCAGGCTGCATGGGCGCGGAAAACCTGAGACAGCGAGGGAGCAGAAACCGAAACACGAGAAATTTTCTTTTTTAGCTCTTTTTTTCCTTTAGGAGAAGAGATGACAGCCATGATAGTAAATAGGTGTTCTGTGTGACAGCCGCGACGCTTCGAGTTTTTTTAATCTTTGTCACTTCTCTACATGTGCTCTAGGAGGCCTTGTCAGTAGTGTTCATCTCTTTTCGGTGATTACTTATTCCATCCGCAAAGCAAGTCGGTGTGAGTTCATCTCTGCTTGCGACAAAAAAGCGGAAGCAGTTCTTGCTAAGCGAGAAAATGGATTGCACCACTGAATCGCACCGCAGGAATATGGATGAGCTGGAGGCCTTCGCACTGCAAAGTTAGTGCTGCATGCGTCAAAAAAAAAAAAAAAACGCGAACTTGTTTAGGTAAACGTGCATTTTTTAGTGTTCACTTGTGCATTCGTTTTTTTCTCATAAAAAACTAGTTAAAGGGCCCACCGTTTTAAAGGTAAGTCGTTTTGGTCGGTGGAAAATAAGTATTTATCATTAACTTTTGGGAGTGCACTATAACAACCTTTCAAAATAAATGAATTGCCGCGGCCCCCTGAAGTTCGTTATACTGAGATTTCACTGTAACAAAAAACTGCTGTGTCACACGAAAAATAACAACCAGCTCCAAGCTTGCAGCGTGCCCTTCAACCAAAGAGGATGCGTGAAAAGAACACACACAGGACGAGCAAAGTGCCCGCACAAGCAACCATGCACTCTCGAAGTGGGCACGCAACACAACGCGCAGAACGTCCTTTAAAGCACACCCTCCGCACTGTTCACACTGTCTTCCAACTGATAAGAACAAGATAAAGCCACCAAGCTTTGAATACTGTGAATGGTAAATGGTATAAATAGCTCGCAGTAGCAAGTTGAACAACGTATGCTCGGTAGCCAAGTCGATTCACACCCCACGATGCGGATCGAGGGGTCGTAAGTTCGACTTCTGATGACTCAACTTTCTCTCTTCTTTTTTTTGCCTCTGCTAGTACCTTACAACATCATATCCGAGACAAAAATCAGTGACAGGACCCCAGCATAAAACACTTTCATGTTAAAAAAAAATATAAAATGTGTTGGATCGCTGATGTACCAAAAGATGCCCTAATGGTAAAACAAAAGATTTTAAATTATGCACATAGACAACGCCATTTATTTACATGTGCTTTTACATGCAGCTGCATTTTATACGAGAGGACTAAAGAAAAAAAAAGAATGAAGCAATATCTTCATGAATGTTGCAACCAGACCTTTGAAATGTGTTCTCTTAAGTTCAAGAACCATCAGTGAAGCTACTGGCTTAGGTTGTTTCGGAGCAGGTCTTGGAGCAGGCAAAAAAGCATTATTGAGCAGCAAAACCAGCTTTCGGAGCACGTGTTGCTGGAAGCAATATTAAAGGGGCCCTGAAACACTTTTTGAGCATGGTCAGAAAATGCTGCCAATCGGTAGTAGAGACCCCTAAAAACACACGAGCGAAATATTATAGCCCAGCGTGCAACCTGGAATTCAGAATAACTAATCAAAGTCAGCGAAAAATTGATTTCTCCTTTCTGGACAGACGACAGAAGACGCTCAAAAATCACACGTAGAAGGCCATCAATCAGCCATTGGCTGATACAAACATGGCCCGCTTGGCCGTTATAGGGATTGCCGCGGGAGGCTGCGACTTGTCCACGCATGCACAGGCGATCACACTGAAAAAGCCGCGCATTCGAAGAAAAACAAGAAAAAGTGCTTAAGGGGAGACGCTCCTCGAAAAAGTTTTTTTTTTATTTCTAGTAATAGAGACTTGAAAAGTTTGTTATTAGTATAGTTTTTCATGCAGATTTCAAATATGTAATCATTTTTTGTGTAGCTGCTATAATTATTGAGTTATGCCATGAACAATAGCAAATAGTTACATTTTTTGCGGGCACTCTTTTATGTACTAAACTTTCAGTAAAAGCACTGTGTCCGATCTTATTTGACTCTTGGTAGATTGAAAAGTGCAAATATCTATATAGATATGTCACAGAAATATTGGAACCAAGAAAAAAAAATTGTATTGAATGACTTATTATTTTCAATCTCCCTTGAAACAATAAGCTAATATTTTCACAACTAATGCTGGTAGGCATTGCAATTTAGAGTAGATATTTGCATTCTGCATGTGTTGAAGAATATGTGTGCCAAGTTTCGTTACTATACAATGAATATAAGTTTCTAAAAGGCTGCCCGGAAAACGTGAAACTGTCAGAAAAAATGAAAATGAGAAAAACAAGTTTGAAAGTTCGCAAAGTTGGCATTTATTAGGAAATCATTTTTTTTTGCATCAAATTGGGGCACAATGAAAAGTACCTCGCCTTGAATGCACTGCAAGTGTCTAGAAGTCCCCTGCACCATAGCTTGGTCCTTCACGGCTCTTGCGGTCAGTGTCCTCAACACGAGCTCTCTTCGCTGTGTTGCAACGGTGTGCCCTCGCTTCTGCAGTTTGCTTCAGGTTCATCTTCCTGATGCGCATGACGTCACAGTGGTCACCATGTGTGGCCAGATCTTGTGAGGGGAGAATTCCAATGCCTTCGAGCACTTCTTCAAAACCCCTGTGGCCTTTGTTGTACCAGAGTACAGCAAAAGCGGTGGCTGTCTCCACAGTTGTTCTGGAGGCGAACTTTGTTTTTGGACATAGCAGCCATATCTTGCTGTTCAGCGATTCGGCTGCATTCTGTGTCTTGCCATGAAGGCACCGAATAAGGAGTTTCTCCTCTGTAAGGCGCTTGTAGATAGGCATAATTGCCAATCCTTGAGCCTTCGTCAACAGTGGGGTGTGGCGTGGTGCAGGCTCCCCCAGTGCTTCCGCACGCTTGTGCTTGCACCACGAATTCGGTCCCGCGGGGCAAAAGTTGTAGCTACTGGCACCATCACTGGAGCAGCAATGAAAATACGATGCCCATATGGCAGTGTACATATTTCGGACACTGTCCTTGTTGCTCGTGATGGCGATCTTGTAATATGTTTGTAGTTTTATTATTGTCGCATCTTTCAGTTTTTCGCCTCGTGGCAGTGGCGTTGCCAATTTTTGTAGGGCAGTTCCCAAGCGCTTTGCAACGTGGTTCGTGCACTCTTCTTTGTCAATGGGGGTGTCACAGTATACATTTACCTCGCAGACTGCAGTGTAGGCGTTGCTGTCACCATCACTTAGGAAGCTGGTGAATCGCAGTGGAGTTTCATAAGACAAGGTCCTCTGCCATATATTGACAGCTGCCACAGGTTCCATTGCATGGGATGAGCAGTCAGTGTTTTTTTGGCAAACTGGAAGATGAAAAGCTCGCCATATCTCTTCATCCTCCCCAAGGTCCCTGTGTATACTGCAAGCATGGCAGTAGTTCGAAAGAATTTCAAAATCGAGGCAGAGCCCCGTGTCCATGGACACGACTGTGCCCACTCCATTGTGGCTTTTATGACCTCTTTTCTGCCAGGTGCCATCAAACATGACTGGCACATCTCTGCCGCCGACTGCGTCCTTCGTGATGTTTCGTGCCTGGTGCAAGTTTTTGCTCACTGCCGTCATCGCCGCACCATGGAGCTCCTTGCAAATGCCGTTGAATGTCTTGTGATGCATCGGGCTCGGAAGACCGAGAATCGCACAAAATCGTGAAAGTTGGTCGTGGCCTGCGCCTATAGCGCATGCTGCCAGAACTGCCTTCACGTTTACAGCAAAGCTGTCACGCGAGCTGCCGCTGTCAAAACGAGCGCTCGTTCCTTGGTCCCCGGCCGAAGCAGTACGTCTCGACGCGCGTGAACGAAAGTGCAGATTCAGGGCAATCAGAATTTTGACAGCACAGTTCGAGGAATGCCGAAAGTCCTTTGCGCTTTCAAGCTGCCTCTCGCACGCCGAGCTTCCGTTCGCGGCAGGTTGGGCATTGCGCACCCGCCCCAAGTGCCGTCAGCGCATCGATTTCGCAAAGCAGCATGTTCGCAGTAGCAGCATCTACCGGTCTACGTTCACTCTTGAAGAATCCAATCTTCCTTTGGGATGCACTGACGAATTCCACGGCAGCGGCTATTTCACAACCACTGTCGCAGGGTTCGGTGACGGTGTTAGGCCTATCCGAAGTCGGAGCGTCGGGGCGTTGGTCGGGGGCGACATCGTCGTTTGCTGTCGCTTTGCGAAGCGTCCGACGCCGTTTCCCTCGATACTTGTGGCGAGTTCTGAACTTTCGATTATCTGAACTGCACTTCTTCGGGCTTGCCATGACGCAAAAATGCAGAGAAACGCAGAAAAACTCGATCGCGACGTCGGAGGCTTCGCTCTTTTGCCGAAGAGATAGAAGGGGGAGGAGCGTGGAGCGCTCCTCTCCACGTTTCAACTGTCTTCAAAACGATTTTCAACCGTCTTTATGAGACGATTTTCAACCGTCTATACGAGACCGTTGTTGTGTTCGCTCACGATGCGCCCAACGAAAAAGAAGACGCTACAATCGTTCGGTGCAAGGAAGCGAGCTATGAAGCTTGTTCGCGCGGCGAGGCTCTCCGCTCGCACGTGCGCCGACGGTGATCGCGCCGACGGTACCTGTGGGGCAGCTTCTGCTTCATCTACGCAAGAGAGTGGTCACATCGACGCGCCTAGCAACGGAACTCCTGCTCCGCCGGTGCAAGAATTTGTCGTTACAAGTGCGCCTGGTGTCTCGTGCTCATCGACAGTGGCTTCCGCATCTTCTCTTTCATCGGCCTCGAGTGCAATCGCGTCGTCAACTGTGCATTTGCGAACAAGTTTCCTGACGTGCGAGGAGAAAGAGGCGGCGGATCAACAACGCGCTGCTGTGCAAAGAGAACTTGGCGCTATGCCAGCGACGGAGCGGAAATTTCAGGCAATGGAGCGCGATCTTGAAGCTGCCACCGCTACAAGAGAAGGCGGAAAATTTTTCCTTGTGCAAATGGATGCCCTAGACGACCTGCTATCTCGAACCCCGTTCCACCGGTGCACCGCGATTGGGATGAAGGTACGAGGAGGCACCCAACTTGGACTTGCTGCAAAGCTTGAGCTAGTATGCTTGCATTGTGGAGTAGTTTCAAGCTCATGGAGTTCATCTCGTCAGGATGACACAAAGGCCTTTGATGTGAATGTAAGAGCCATTATGGCAACAAAACAAATAGGCAAGGGACAAACAGCTCTCAACGACTTTTGGGCAGCGATGAACGTGTCCCATCGTGGCCTCCAACACAAGACCTTTCCTGAAAAAATTCAGGGAACCGCAGACACAATGCATAGAAAATTTCTATGCAGAATCTGCTTCTGCTGTAAAAGCCACTTACAAAGAAATGGATCAATATTTCACCAGGGATATAACAGTTTGTTATGATGGAACATGGCACAAGCGTGGGCACACATTCCATATTGGAGTCGGGGCAATTATCGAATACCACACGGGCCTTATCTTGGACGCCGTTGTTCTGTCTAATCAGTGCCTTGGTTGCCAAGTAGGGCCAAAGCCTGGAGACGCAGACTATGCATGCTGGCTGGAGAATCATGTGTGCCAGAAAAACACCGACTTTAAATCAGGGAGAATGGAGGTTGAGGCAGCTATCATCCTCTTTTCACGCTCACTGTCGCAGCACAACCTCCGTTACACAACGCTCGTGTCTGATGGAGATAGTGCCACCTTCTCTGCCCTTGTACAAGAAAATGTTTATGGACTGGTCCCCATTTCAAAAGAGGAATGCCTGAACCACGTTCAGAAGAGGATGGGGACTGCACTTCGCAACCTTGTGCAGAAAAGTGACAAGGCTTTGGGAGGGAAGGGCAGGCTGACAAAGGCCCTCATCGACAAGTTGACAGATTATTATGGCTGGGCCCTACGGAACAATTCCGATGATGTGGCTGCAATGCCGCGGGCAGTGATGGCATCGTACCACCATGTGACGTTGACGGATGAGGAGCCGCACCACGACTTGTGCCCAGAGGGTGCAGACTCCTGGTGTCGTCACAATGCCAGCAAGATTACCGGTGTTCCACCTCCGAAGCATTCGTACAAGCTGCCACGCTATGTTGCAGATGCACTTCTACCCATTTATGAGAGGCTCTTACAGGCTTCTCTTCTGCAACGCTGCCTGGGAGCAAAGACGCAGAATGCATCAGAGTCCTTTCACTCTGTGCTGTGGTCCCTCATGCCCAAAGAGCAGCATGCGTCACTGATTGCTGTGGAGACAGCACTGCATGATGCAGAGCTAAGATACAATGCTGGCTGCTACAGGGCCACCCAAGAGCTAGCTTCATCAGTGGGGCTAACACCTGGCCACCTGGCCATTCAACGGGCAGCCGAGAAAGATTCTCTGCGCTTGAAAAAGGCTAAGAAGCGATCCCTAGAGAAGATGGAAAGGCGGCAAAGAAAGAGAGTGCCAAAGGACACCTCCAGTTACGCTGCAGGTTCATTTTAGAACTGCCTACGTGCTCAAAACTTTCAAACGTCGTTTTCTCAAAATGACTTTTTTGGCTAGTGAGGCTGCTTATTCCAGCCATATCTCTGGAACCACTCATTGGATTTCCATAAGTCTTTTTTTATTATGTACATGAATAAATTTCTGAGGGGGTGACAAGCCCATTTTTTCAATATATTGTGTGTGTTATTTATTATATTTAATCAAAATTTGATTGATAATATCCTAATCACGAACACAAAGTTTGATGGTCTGCTAAAACTTTTCAGCAAGGAAATTCAAAAAAAGGGCTCTGTTACCCCCTGGAGTATCAATCTGGCAATCATCATAGTTAATTTCACAGTTCCAGCACCTTTTGAAAGTTCTCCAGGCCTGGAATAAGAGAACCATGTGCTCTACCCTGATATTCTGCTTTAACTTGAAAACCAGTGAACATAACTTGATGAAATTTTGTAGTTCTTCTAATGCTTTTGCTATAGGTCTATCCTGAAAATTTCATTAAGATATCTCAATAAACAAAAAGTTGGTATCCGATGGTAGCCTCCCCCCTTAAGGCACGACTGAAACTAACAGCAGTGGCGTTATTACCTAGATGCAGTCAAGCTAGAACTCTCAGACTGACCGATTTGACTGTTTCAAGCCGCGTGCAAGCTCTCCCATTTTTTTTTGTTCGACCTATACAGTTGGACAATTTTTTAAACAGACAGGCACAAGACGTAGTTCTTAATCATTGTTCTTATGAGGTCTCCCTTCTAAGAAGGGTACCTGGTTTTCATTTTCAAATCGACCCATACTTCAAGGCAGACACACAGGTGCCTTTTTACATTAGAGGCTCGATATATGAGTGCCACTTATAACAGTGATCAACCATATTCTAATACAGCATGCAATCAAATGAATGTACGAGCATGAGTGGGTAAACAATGAGGCTTGCGGCAAGTACAGATAAAAATAGAGACCTTACTTGCATGAAAAAGTGTTGAAAAATAAATGCAGGTACACAAAGGAGTGTGAGTAACACACAAACAATAAGAGACAGGTGTATTAACTAAGAGCCTTGCTTCCGCATGTCCACCTATTCCATTATTAAAACAACTCACCTGAAAGCAGACAGCTTCCAGGGTAGCCCTGGCAATGTGTGCTCGAGTCGTGAACTGCGTGAGGCCGCATATGATGCCCCGTGCGTCTGGCTCCCAGTAGGGCGCGTAAAGGCCCGAGAAGGCTGGCACGAAGTACACACCATGGGTGCTGCCTACTGTACGGGCCACTTTCTCTGCGATTACAAAAAGTCGAGCATAAGTAAACTATGTGCCAGTAAGTGTGGACGAAAATGGACACTGTACAATTGTTAAATACGCACACATGCACACACAGCATCTATAAAGCCTTGCACTCAATATACAACGGTAGCAGCGTGGAAGAGTTCCAAAGCATTCGTGGAGCCAATGCGAGAAATGCCACGGCACTTTCTACTCAATATTAAACACAATTGATTCATAAATTTTTTTGGACCACTTCTGAGCACACAAGGATGAATTCTTGAACTCTTAGACAGAAATCAGGACTAAATCCGATTCGTTCCGCTGACTTCCCATTAGCACAGTTCGAGCCAAGTTAATCAAATGTGAAACCATTTCTCTAGTGGAACGACCTCCGAAAACGAACGTCATTATCTCTTTAAGTGCTTTGCTCGTCCTTCCCAAACTGCTTGGAAGAAGTAGAGTTCGTACCAACAGAATAGGCCCTCCTCTGTAGCATTCAACATTAGAAGCACTTGTGAATAGCTCAGATTGAGTGTCATCCACTAGATGGCAGCATTTAGTCAATGATTTAGTTTTCTCCGATGGCAAGAGGGTGGTTTTAGTAAGAAAAGATGGCATGCGGTGGTGACTACCCATGCATAGCTCGCCCGCCAACACCACAAAAAAAAAAAAAAAAAAAAACTGTTCATTTGAGTCATTTTTTTCGAGAGACGACGACTCTGACACAGATGTTTATATTGTGTCTAGAAGCGAAGACCGCGATGACATTTAATTGAGCAGCTTCTATAGCGATCATGACAGCTGGAAAGCGAACATCGCAAGTGCTCGCCATTGAAGCCACTCTGCGTTGTTTCATAGTTTGAAATTTTCTACACAATCCCAAAGCTTCCCATGTGAAATAGCCCAAGGATACTTATCCTACACAAATGAAGAAAACTGTGGCATCTGCAAATTTTTTTCTTCATTAGGTTATTATTTTGATTACCAGCAGGTGGCTCATTTTCTATGTATTCTTCAGAAGTAAACTTCATTGTGTTGATTTGAATGAATATGTGGTACAAATATTTTTTTTGGCATCAACTTGCTGCTTTTTAGTACAATCAGATTCGAAATCAGCAAAAAAAAAAGCAGCTTTGGTTGGGAAACATTAAAAAAAAATTAAACACTTAAGTTAAGGGGTTAACGGTAAACAAGGGCAGATGCGAGCATGAAACAAATACCGGCAAAACATATAAGTTGCAGATGCTACTACCCGCAATCTTGGCTGTCAAGCTGCATATGGCCCTCCCGACAACACCACACCATCTCTCGAAAGGAAGGCAATCAGCAACACCACCACTAGCTCCGACTGTGTGCCATTTATAGGTGTTCCTCAGGCCTTTATAACAACGGTAGCGGAAACTGCAAACAGAGCTTCAGCACGTTGGTAGAGTGGGTCGGACAACGCATCAACATTGGCACAAGGTGGCATCAGCAATATGTCTTTATTGCCATTAAGGAAACCAAACACTGACTGAAATCAAACTGGCAAAACATTAGTAGAGGTACATACATGTGACCCTGGAAGATGATGCTCTTCAATGTGAGGGTTGATTGTCCAGGCTAAGCTATACGCTTACTTCTGTGGCCAGCATCAATACATAACACCTATAGTGGCAAAGGAGCAAGCCTGTAGAAGTTATAGCTTCAGTGATTGTGTGAACAAACACAAAGAGCTCAAAATAAATCTTTTTTGAAATTTTATTTTTTCCATATCTAGCGCATATACAGTGGAACCCCGTTCCTACGTTTCTCAGCGGACAGGGTAGGAAAAACGTAACAGCCGAGAAAATGCAAGAGTGAGGAAAGCTCCGAAAATCAATGAGAGAACAGGTGCTTTGACTACAAACAATTCATTTCGGCAAGGAGAGCCTAAGACTTAGAATAATTGGAGATAGTTGACTGCCGCTCTTTTCACTCGCTGGTAAGCACAATGCATTTCTCAATAATCTGGAAGGCCGCATTGCTTTCAGCGTCGCTTTGGTGTGCGATGTGCCTGCGAAGGTAGTCCAGGGCCACGACGACTTCGCCAAAATTGTGATCGGCCGACTCCACTTCCAACTCTTCAGAATCTTATTGCTCGTGCTCGTCGTCATCATCGATGGCCCTGCCTTCAGTTGCAATAGAGTTTGCAACGACCTCAGCGATTATATGGCGCTCCGATGTCACAACGGCAGCATCCACAGCAACGTAGTTGTCGTGCGTCGTACCCATGGCACCCAGCGCATTCACTGCCTCATTGAGCTCTTGCTCACAAGAAGCTACTTCCAATTGTTGAGCTTCAATGGCAGGCTGTCCGTCCTGTCCATAAGAAACACACACCTCCCGAAGCAGTGCTCTACGGATGACATGCCCATGCACTCCATGCTAGATGCGACGTATCGAATGGCATCGAGTATCGGAATTGTCGCAGATTGCGTTGACAAATTCAATCGTAACAGGCTTAGCGCACACAACAGCAACTGAAGACAAGTCACAATGTGCGGCGTACGGCGGTGGGACTGTCATGCACTTTCGGCATTCCGTAGTGAAACTCCTGTTGTTAGCACAGTGATGATGGTGATCGCACCTTTCACAAATGGCCATCTTGAGGTGGCCTCTCCAAGTCGCTTGTGGCTTCTTGCAGCCTGTTCCGTAGCCCAGCCAGGCCAAGAATTTCAAATTTCAAATCAAAATGACATTGCCCGGGCGGGTTCGGCAGACTAGGTTGCAATGCATCATGCAGGAACATTCTCACAGTTGCGACGTAACACCGGAGTTCACAATACATAGGATTCTATGAGAGCTATCCTGGGGCCGATGAAAGACAACGAAGCAGCTGAGAATATGTAGCAGTGAGCAACGTAAAAGCAGGGTTCCACTGTATGTACTGTATTCCTGTATAAGGAGCTGGTGATCAGACTTTCTTCTTCAACTTTCGTCTGGTTCACTTCAAGAACACCAACAAAGGTTGCCAAAAGCATTTCATGTAGAAAAAGACATACTACTGCTGCGCAGTAGTCCCCGTAACAGCAGTCCACCAACACCATGCAGCAAGTGCGGACCAAAGGAACTCGAGGTCCACTGCGTGCGACTGGCAATGGACACTTGTTACGCAGCTGTCACTGTCATACTGTACTTAGTTTATCAAAGAGCACGGAAAACAAGAACCGCTTCAAAATTCAGGCACTGACCCTATTGCATCTTTTAAGTTTTTTTTTATTTATTGCCAATATGAGCTGACTAACAATCTTTTGTCTCTAGTTGGGGTGGTTAAAGACTATGGTCACTGCAAAGCCTGGAGAAACCAGAGAGCAAGAAGGAAGCTGATAATGCCACTATACCCCCAATGCTGCCCCGCGCATACAGAAAGGAGGCGCAGAGATTGCAGACGGTAGCCACCCGGGCAATGACCAATGCTACCATTAATTAACTGCAACAGTCACCAAGAGCAAACTGAGGCTCTGAGCAGAACACCAGCGAAGGCATATTGGTGCCATTAAATAGAAATCTTCCCAAGTGCGCATTACTGGGGAAGGAATCTAAATGGTGTAAATGCCCAGGTCTGTGAGATCACACATCTGTCTGATGATGATGATGAGTAGATGTCTAGCACCCGTCCTGAGTATGTGTTCCTTACTTGTGTCTGCGTCTAGTACGTTATTCCGCTATGAATATGAATACAAGTAAGATCACTTGGCCACGGGAGGGGAAAGTGTGTGGTTTCAAAGAAACTAAAAAGTGTGATCATGGGAAAGAGAAGGACAGTGCGGTCAGAGCAGTGTGACTGCAAAACTGTGCTCAGGTTTTTCCGAGGTTAGATGATGTCCAAAGTAGACTGTCAGAACTTGTACATATGTTGTAACTAAGTTTAATCTTATAACTACTTGAGTATATAACACTGCTTGCACCACAATCTCTGAGTCCCTACCAACAAGCTGCCCCAAGGACAGTCTCTGACAGGGCATTTCGAGTGCAAAAAAAATCACCAGCCTGCTAGTCGGTCACTGGCTGAATCACAGATCCTCAGACTGCGGAAGAAAAACTCAACTTTACCATCAGTATTAAGCTAACAGTTGTGTTTTTAGGACGTGTAGGTGTTTCGATACAAAGCTATAGTACCTAGGCAAGCATTGGTATTTACGACTCGCATCAGATAAGCCACACAGAAAGTCCACTGTACCAAATATGCTTTATTAACTTATTCCCACTGATATGTAAACATACAAGAATACAAGTTTACTAACTATCCTCTTAACAACGTTTAACAGCACCAAACTACTGTAAATTGTGCCTGCAATGTTTATCTTTATTTATCTGTTGTATTTGACAGCATGCTGCACCAAATCATAATGACATACCATATGAAGGACAATTGACCAAAACAAAAAATAATATAGATCACCTCACCGATGTCACCGCTGCTGTTAAGGAGACCCAGGTTGTCCCTCAGCCACCGAACAGCAGCTCCCGCAATCGCCACAGACCCCTAAGCATTAAAGCAATATATATTACGAAACTGCCTAGCATATATGAACCATGCTGTAGTTTCGCATAAGAACACAATTTGAGTGATGCTACTGGGGACTAATGTTACGGAGCAGTTTTTGGAGCAGTAAAATTTTAGTTTTGGAGCACTTTGGAGCAGTTGGCACAGGAGTGGGATCACTGCAATTTTTTACAGGAATAAGTCAAAATAATAATTGTTGGGGTTTAAAATCCCAAAACAACGATATGATTATGATATATGCCGTACTGCAGGGCTCTGAAAATTTTGACCTACTGGGGTTATTTAACTTGTGCCCAAATATAAATACACAATCCTCAATCATTTTCGCCTGTATTGAAAATGTGGCTGTCGTGGTCGGGATGTAATGTCGCGACCTGTGGGTCACAGGCATACATCCGTATCTCAATGCTTTCAAGAAAGTTACTTGTTGGGTAAGTTGGTACATGGTTACTCTAGTTGCACCAGTTGTTAGTAGCCACGTTTGCGTCACTATCTTTGCTTTCCGCTGCTCAGATTTCCCTATTTTCACATTTTAAAGGCTTTCTTTGAGTGCAACCCTCAATTTTCACACCTTTCAACTTTGCATGAGAAATCATAGTGTTGAACTCCAACTCAACTACTGGAACAAAACCACTAGGTTTAAGAATGCATAACACAAAAAAATCACAGAAAAAAACAGTCACTCTTGTCATATAGGAAGGCCTTGAACATTTAAGATGTCATAGCAAACGTAGCACATCTCTTCCCAACATCAACACCACAAGTCGACAAAAACACCTGCCATCCCAGATTCAGGTCAGGCCAGCACCATTCTATGGCAGCTACAACACGACTTTTAGCAAAATATTTAATGTCACAAAAATAAGAGAACACGCAATAGAGTTTTCTAAACTCAAAAAGGCCATGCAAGTGCAAAAGCGTCGCTCAATTCTTCACTGGACACTTCAGAAATTCAAAGACTTTGCATTCAAATACCCTTACTGTTGCATAAAACGTTGCGTACACATATGTGGACCCCAGTTCTTGCATCCCTACTGCCACTGGTGCCAATATTCTTTTTCTAGTAATTCCTCCCATTTGCTTACTTTCAATGCTGAATGTAAATAAAACAGTGGCAAATCAATTAAACAAATGCAAGTAACATAGTTAATTATTGAAGAAAATAACCAAATTAACAGTCAATTTGTCATACAGTAAAGCATATAGAGACATTAAAATAAGAAAATGTAGCATGATATGTATCCTGGTAGCAAAATGGTCCCATACATGCACTAAGCAAAAGCAAATGATGAAACTGGGCATCTTTTTTTTTGTGTGTCTGTGTTTTAACGTGACAGCATCAAAGAGCTTGTTTCACAGAAATTCCAGTGTCAGCATCATTTGTTGCGAGTGAAAAAACATCATCTTGTTCGTAATCAAGAAATATGCAAATAAAATAATGAAAACCTTTGGTTCGAGTGAGAACCGAACCCAGGCCGTCTGTGTGGCAAGCAGATGTTCTATCACAGAGCTAAGCTGTAGCCTGAAAGTGCCTCAGAACAGGGATGTCATGCAGTGGGTGGAGTCTCCTTATCGCAAGTAATATTGCGCTGCAGAAGGTTGGAATCACACCAGGCGTCAAAACTGGACTTGGGCGAATATTCGAATTCCCTTCGAATCAAATTGAACTCATTGAAAGTTTCGAATTATTCGACACGAATGAATAAATGCGTATTAATCCACACGTAACATCTTGTAAAAGTGGCTGCACTGCAGTGAAAGCGTGCTAAGTGGCAAAAGCAACTGTTAAAATGTATATTAATTCGCAGGTAACCTTTAAATGTGGTTTAACTGCAGAGAATTGGTGCTAAGCCCTGAAAACACATACCTAGGAGAAATCTGCACTGCTGCGAAGCCTCACATCGATTCATTTTTTAAGTCGCAAAGCTCATCACACCGACTTATTTGCACTAAGTGCAGCAAATATTAAAACGCAACATATTTTACAGGCTATCACTTACATTTTACTAAAACTCAACCTTGCTACTATTCATAGTTGTTTCCACTTCCTTTGATGCAAAAAAAAAAATAATAATAAATGAACAAAGGGCTTGTTTCAGTTTTGACAAATACATTGTGCACGCTAGTTGGGTCATGACAAATATGCCCCTTTTTCTTTATAATAGGCAATATACATACTATTTGAATTAGATTCGAAATCATTCGACCAAGATCGCTATTCATTTCGAACCTAGAATTCATTATTTGCACAAGCCTAGTGGAAACAAACGAATCGCAAAAAGAGTGGGTGCTTTAAAGGCCCATTCATTACAAAGTGCTTATTAGCTACACAAGCATCAACAAATAAGCAGCTGCATAGGTTTGCATGTTGCCTTACGAACGAATAGCAGGGCCCTTAACAACTGTACTTGCAGTAGGCATTCTGACAAAATTTGTAACGGCTAATGTTATGCGCACAGTCATTCCTTTCCTTACAGCACAATTGAGGCATGCACTAAGCACCGAAGCTAGGCTAGCAATAGAGAAGGTGGTGTGCGCACAGGACTCGATTGCACTGTCGCAGTTGGCTTTTGAAGGCAGAGCTCAAGCATCCTACAAGTTTTTTTTCAGGAATAGCTTGGAGACCTGCAGCACTTAAGGCAGGCTCCAAATAATACAATCACACGATTCCCCCACATTAATGATAGCATTGCATTTGCGCCATACGCAGGTAGAGGAAGCATCTAAAACATCGACACAGACTGCGCACTGTTTACTGAACTGTTGCAGGAATCAGATGTATGCAGAGTACTCCTTGATGTGCTAGCTGGTCCAGAATACTTATACAGTGAGGGTACAAATTAAGACAAATAATGAGAAAAAAAGACACAAAAGACAGGATGTGCAAGTGCCCCCAGTCTCCTTGATTTGAGTTTAAATTTGTATGTTCCCCTAATTTTATAAGTGTTAGCAATATACTCACATTCCTTAACATGAGGTCGATTTTTAACATTTTTTGCAGTTATAAACATACACACTTAGAAAAATATAGCCTCTGCATTTGATGCACCTTATAAACACAAAGCTTCAGCTGCATTCTAGCCAGTAAGTTTCAGAGAATCTTTTTAGAAGCATCAGGACTCCCAGCTCTACACAGCAAAAGAAGAAACATAAGAACAAAAATAGACCTTACCTCAACAGCATATTGGACAGGACGTTTTGGTCCAAGCTTGTAGGCGACAGTCGTGAGCAGACCGTGCGAGGACTGTACAATCTGCAAGCCAGTCTACAATGTTGTTAGGTACATGTGTCGCCACTCACCGTGTGCATATTGCCTTTGCTTGGAAGCAGGAGCGCAGCAGGGAGAGACAGAGAAGAGCAGCGCAACACGAAGGTACACTCGGCAAAAGACGAGCGCAAGGAAAACCAGCCATACTATGCACAAAGCAAGAAAGAGCTTTGTCCCATTTTTATATTAGCAAGCGCAGCATACCAGGAAGAATAAGAAGAGAAATTGAAGCACTTAGTACACCAATGGGAATTTTTTGTTTCTGGGGTATTGATTGATTTGTGGGGTTTAACGTCCCAAAACCACCATATGATTATGAGAGACGCCGTAGTGGAGGACTCCGGAAATTTTGACCACCTGGGGATCTTTAACGTGCACCCAAATCTGAGCACACGGGCCTACGACATTTCCGCCTCCATCGGAAATGCAGCCGCCGCAGCCGGGATTTGAACCCGTGACCTGCGGGTCAGCTGTTTCTGGGGTATACCAAGGGCAATAATTCTGCAGAGATCCTAGAGCATTTTCGCAAGCAAGAGAGACAAGAACTAACGCTATTGAATACAACATCATGAGGAACATCATTCATGAATGTCGTTTTGACGCTAGAGACACAAAGCTACTGAAAGCTTCTGCACTTTGGCCGTCATGTGGGCTACAAGCTTGATGGAGCGAAAAGTGATGCAAGTCAAAGTGTCAGGTGAGAGAAAATAAGACTACCTAGGCAAGAGATGGTTACATGGTATTATTCAGGTCATATGGCAACAACGACAAGTCGATACAAGTACAAAGATGCAGAGAATGCTGCAACCAGATAGCTTAAAGGGGCCCTGCAACACTTTTGCAGCATGCTAAGACAACATTGCTGACTGGTAGTCGAGGCTCCCGAAAGCACACGAGCTAATTGTTACAGCGCAACACGAGGCATGGAGTTTACAATAAATTCTAAAATTAAGCTGAAAATCGCGTCCTCTTTTCTTGTCAAAAGATGCTACATGCTAAAAATTACTGTGTCATTGACTCAAGTTCCACATTATTGGTTGATTTGAGCATAATGCACTCAAGAGTTACTGCGGCCATCGGAGGGGACCGTCACATGTCTTTGGGGCGTGTGTGACCCGACTGAAAGATAGCATATTCGAAGAAAAAAAAAATGAAGTCTTCACGGTCACAAGGTGCAAGTGACGTACCTTTTCCCCTCGTGCCATCTCTCCCTGTTTAGCTACCAGCACTTTCGTCAGGACAAGAGAAGAGCAAAAGCAATTGCAGCTCGTGACAAATCTTCGTAATTCTGCTCATACTGAACGGATTTTGAAACTTTTTGCAGCAGTTCATTCATCAGGTAAAGAGCTCTTTTAGCGAAGAGCTTTTTTAGCGAATTCACTCCATGGCTACTGGAAAAGTGTTGCAGGGCCTCCTTAAAAATAGGTAAGTGTGTGACGTTCCCGCAAACACGGACTGAACCCCGGCCCTTTCAAGATGTTTACGCTTGTTTACACATGCATAAAAAAAAATGAAAAGAAACCCTTCAGTGTAACGAATGGGCATTCCGGAGTGGAGTGCCTGGAAGGATTATTTCTACTGTTCTCGCGGGCCCCCGCGCGCAAACACGAGGACCGGGCGGTGCCTTGTTGTCTGCAGACAGTGTGACAGTGTACGGTGGCAATAATCCGCGTGCACCCTTCAAATTTGTGGTATGGGGGAGCAGCAGAGCACCTTTTGTTGGTTCGGGGAATGCGACCCTGCCGCAACGCCTGTGTCGGGTTCAGTCTGACTTTCCGTCAGCCTCCGTGGCTCCAGGGCTCATTACTGCGTTCTGCGCGGATGGCCGCCCGCGGCGTTGAATGACGAAGAAGCGGCGGCTACGGAGAATTTCGCGGGAGACACCGAGCTGCATGGAAACGTTGAGATTTGGTCTGGACATCGGCTCATCAAGTACAAGAAACTGGGGCAATTGGTTCGGCCGAAAACATTTCGGCACAACACTGCAAACTCCGGACGCTGGCCATTACGGACGACCCACTTTGTCGGAAGCATTGGGACCATTGTTCGCCCGTAATTAAAGTGTCTTGGGACAGCTCGCCCATCTCTCTCTCTCTGAGGCTTGAGTTTGTACATTGTTACTTGCTCGGCTTTGTTTGGGAAAGGGTTTTCTACTGGTGTGGGCCGCGGCGGCGGCCGTCGAAGACGATACACACCGACTAACAGAGAAATGGGTCGTGTCAACAGTGGCGATTGGTTAGGTGCCATGGAGGGGCGGAGTCGGGTCCTACAAAAAGGGACTACAGAACGGCGAGTGTCAGAGAGACGATGCGATGAGCTCGAGATGGTAGAGAGACGGAATGGAAAAGGAAGACAATGGTGTGAAGAGATAGCAATGAGAGTCGATGAGATGATGACTGAGGCAGAGATGATATGACGAGGAAAGGAAATTAGAGATGGGAAACGAGGAAGCGAGTGATTGCAAGACGTTATGAAAGAAGATTAAGATGGAAATCGCTGAGAGAGACAACGAAGACGATGACGACTGACAACGCGGACCATTCGTGAGACGAACTTTACACACCCTATTTAGACGAGCTTTGCAGGCAGGGGAGCGGCGCGTTGAGACATTGCATGGTTTTATTCATTGATAACTTCATCATTTGTGTCATCGTGTGTTTTTTTTATATATGCGTACCCTTGTATTGTTGCATTAACTTTATTTATGTGCCTGTCCTGTGTCGAACGTCGTGAATGTCTAAATCATATGTTATAATTTTGTGTAGTGGTTGATGTACGCCGGTATACAATGTTTGCAGTTAGTAATAAATTAAATGAATCAGTAAACAGGAACAGGTCGTAACGTCTCTTACTTCCCTGCCCCAGCACGAATCCCTGTATGTGGGAAGTGATTGAGACACATAGCCGAGGGAGAAACGGATAGACAAGGGGTTGAGTGGTCTTCCCTCTCTTTGGTAAACGGTGGCGTAGCGGGGGACAGCTCAAGTGCAAACAGTGAATTTTTGTTTTTTGGTTCGAAGCAAATAGTGATTTGGTCAAATAATTACAAATTTAATTCCAACAGTGATATCACATAAACAAATGTGCACATTAGTCATGACCCAATTAACTTACACACTATACTTTTAAAATTGAAACAAGGCATCTGCAAATGCCATTCTTTTTCGTCCACACAAGTGGAACCAACTTTGAATAGTAGTTGTACGATTGGAATTACGGTAAACTGTAAGTGATAAGCTGCAAAATATGTTACTTCTCAAAATTTACATTATTTAGAGCATATAGGCCAGGATAAGAACCTTTATACCTAAAGCATGATTAATCAATGCAAGGGTGATTATGTTCAATTAACATTGAAGAAGGGCTTCATGGCAGTGCGATTCTCTCCTGAATAAGTGTACTTTCAAATCGAATCACAGCAAACTTGAATACTGTAATATTCATTTAAATATTCGATGTTCGAATATTCCCACAAGCCTAATTAAAAGTCATTAAAGGGCCTTTACACCACCTCCGATATTTTTTCAAACTCGCGCATCGTGTTCAGAGTGCTGTTACGATCAACGATGTCATGCAAAGCAGCATTACAAGCTACAGGCGCGCCACAAATTACAAGAAACAATCTTTTTTTTTTCTTGAGGCCTTTCCACCCCAGTAACGTGTCTGATGTTAGCATGTCGAACCTGCGATGCTGTCGGGAAGTGACGCTGCGATTGGTCAAACAAGAACCGACAACTTCAGGTTAGTCTGCAAGCAGCTGCTCGTGCTCAAGCAAAGGTGCTCTGGCATGGTATGTCACCGAATGGGTGGGCGATTTTTTCGAGGCTGTGCACGCAACGCAGGGTCCATACTGGCATGAATCTTAGGAGCACGCACCAGCATGGGAAGAAAAGGGTTGGCCAAGAAGCATGGAGTTTACAGAGTCACGCAACTGAAAGAGGTTGTTGATTCAAAGAGCGAGTAGGCTACGTCGTATGTCATGCAAGATTGAGAAGGCTTCACGCAGAGGAGAGAAAGCAGCTTTGAGAGAGGAGACCAGCTGTCGAATGGAGGGTAGCTAGGGAAAGAGGGGAAAGACCTAGAAAGCGCGAAACTAGTTTATAGACAAACCCACGTAATTCTGCAATTACAGCAGCGTTTTAAAATATTATCACAGCTACATGTTCATTGTAGAATCACACAGAACTGCCACACCATGACTAAGTTTCGACCTCCGGGTGATTTAGGCATCCTTTATAACTGGGAATTAGTGCAAGGAAAAGAGAAAACATTAATTAAGAAACAACCCTCGTTCTATAATAATGAAAGAATTATCAGTCATTCCCAACTTCTACGAAAGGTTGTGAGGACCAAATATGTTTTGGTATAGGACGCACGACCAATTCCACTAAAAAGTACCTAGCTTGGTGTACTAGATGGCCAAAATATATATACGTAGAAGCTAAAGTGTTACAATATTCATCATGTTACACATTACCTGCAAAACACCGAAGGTACCGTAGACTTCCCACTTCCGATATTGCAAGATTTGTAGGGAGGCCTCTCGTATTTTCATGCCAGTATGTTCGGCGTGACCTACACCTAGCAGCTCTATGCTGATGCAGACTCTTTCCAAACATTAGAGAACCCTAGGGTTCCCACACAGCATTTCAGTAGCAGTTCAGCTTTATTTCAGCCCATGCAGCAGCAATCTCCAAGACTGGTGCCAGATTGCATGCTCCTAGACACTGCCAAGGCAAGTGAATAACAATCAAACAAGAAATTGGAAGACACGTATATGCAGGGATAATATGCACATTTCAAGCTGTAAAAAATAAGTGAGAAACAGAAAAAAGAACAATTCAGCTTGAACATGTATGCAACAGAAAGAGTGCCTCGTTAATGAAGCTAACAATGCACAAGCAGCAATCAAAGCTTCCTTGCAGCAAGCTCTGCAACTAATGCGAATAGACTAGTTAGCAAACCAGCATGCTGTATATGCTTACCTCCAGGCCAGTGTTGCACAATAAGAAGCATCCAGTGCCATATCTGCACAGAAATAATATGAAACTATAGCATATGAAAGTTGCTTGACATCACGTACGAACGTGTCCCGACTTTTCTGCAAGAAACAGGGCGGTGGAGGGGGAGGGGGAGTGCAGTCTAGTCGCACCACATAAGACATTGAGTTCATAATAGGCTTGTGCGGATAGTAAATTTTAGGTTCGAAGCGAATTCGAGGTGAATAGGGATTTGGTTAGAATAATTTCGAATCGAATTTGAATAGCCTATACCACATGTTATAAAGGAAGATGGGCATATTTGGCATTACCAAACTGACCTGTTCAATTATTATTATTTTGATCGAAACAAGACATGTGACAATGTTTTAGTTGTTGTTCCAAAGGAAGGGGAAGCACTTTTGAATAGTAGCAGAATTTGACTTTTGCTCGAACACAAGTGATAACCTATAAAATATCTTACATTTTAATATTGACTATATACCAGAACACAGCAAGTTGTGCACGTGCCGCCATATTTAGATTGCGCGTCGTGCAAATTTTAAAACAAAGCGAAACCCTAGACTGTCACGCGAGCAGAAGCTCTGCAAATCAGGTGCAAAACTTCTGAACCTGAGTGCGGCAGTGAGCATGTTTCGCACTTTTTCCCTCCCGGAAATTCGCGCTGTTTTCTTGCGAAACATCGAGACGACCTTTCTTGATAGTCCAGAACGTCTGCATCACATGCAGTGCAAACTGCAGAAGCAGCTTCATCAGGGACATACGCCATTACATTTGCACTAAACGTGCGTGGTGTGTGCACGCATGCATGAGTCTTGACATATCCTGTTGCAATTGGCATGTGGCCTGAGAGAGAATACAACAATGATTTGGTGCCACATACTACAGGCTGTGCAAAAAGTTTTGCGAGAACTCAGCATTTTAACATGAATCACTCGATAATTGGCGTATGCCTTGCAGCATCAGCACGTAGTTCACTTCGGAAAGCATCTTCAGAAAGGGCTCAGTATATAACTGCGTGTAACGCACAGTACTTCTGTGAAATAAAATAGCTGGGTTCACACTTGAATACATGCAGCAAGTGTACGGATTCGTGCACTTTTACTGGGTTCGTAGGAGTAGCCACTGGTGATGAAGCTAGGCATTTTTTTGTTGCGTGTCAAAATCTGTGAAAGCTGAAAACACTGCGCCGGCACGATTCTCGTGCCGTTTTGTAATCTTCAAAGACAGTGCTAAGTAATGTCTTCCTCTTGTGCAGTATTTTCTTTTGCATCCAAAAGTGGCACAGTGGTGCCCAGACAACTTCTGGTAAGGGGGAGCTGCTTGAATAGGCACTTTATCGCATTTTAATGCCCCAGAGCTACCACCTGCGATGTTAACTTGCCACAATTGATACCCTTCACGGCAGCGAAACCACTTTTCGAAGGAGGGTTACATTCAGACTAAAACACATTTACTCGTCTATTTCAAGTACTTAAAAGTTTCAAATATTTTATATTTGAATCATAGTAACTTCAAATACATTAGCATTCAAAGTGCTCAAATATTTGCACAGGCTTAGTTCTTAACAGAACTACTGGCGGGAACTCTCGCACTGTGAGCGTTCAGACAGGAATGATGGCTGGTAAATTAATTTCAATGACTTCAGAGCAGAAAGCTCCAAATCTCTTCGAAGATCTTTTAACGATCTGTCTCTACCATCCACGGGCAATTTCTTAATACAAGAATAATCGTTTCTTTCTTTAAATTCCCTTGGAGTACATAATTGAAATCTTTTATATTTATGAACATGCCAATTAATAACAAAAGTAAACTGACTGAATTACGTCGATAGACAATGCATAGGCATAATGCATGTACAGCAAAATAGATCACATGTCCTTTTCATGCTTCTGAATGAGCACAATAGGATTCTGAAGTGCCCGTCATCTTTACGCATTTTGCTAACTACAAATCACTCATCTGCTCACGACAAGCGCTACATCCCCGATCACAAGTGTGTTACAGAGATCAGGAACAATAGGAGTTAACATTCCATCCCTTTGCCTAAGCTTTCTATAAGCCTACAACACAGACAACTACTGAACGCATGCGATGCTGTTAGTACTCCAACAGAGCGATGAAACTATTCAGCAGAAATAGTAGGAACAATACAGAAGCAGTCTAGATTCTCGACACTGTTCTAAATTTTGGCTTTAAAACAGCAAAATAGGCATTAAAAACTTGTGCAGTACCAACTGCAGTCATCATCAGCCTTACTATGCCCACTGCAGGGCAAGGGCCTCATCAAAGTTCCGCCTATCAATCCGGTCCAGTGCTTTCTGCAGACATGCAATACCTGCAAACTTCTTAATATCATCGGCCCAGCTAACTTTCTGTCTTCCCCTCGTGCATTTGCCTTCTCTTGGAATCCACCATGTCACTCTTAATGACCAGTAGTTATCTTGCCTGCGTGCTACAGGTCCCGTCCACACCCATTTCTTCTTTTAGAATTCGACTAAAATGTCCTAAACACTCAATCGTTCTCTCATCCACTCTGCTTTCTTGTTGCTTAAGGTTGCACCCATCAATTTCCTATCTTTTGCTCGCCGTGCTATTCTCCATTTAAATCGAACCCTTTCTGTAGGCCCCCAGGTTTCTGCTACGTAGGTGTGTACCTGTAAGATAAAGGTGTTAAATACCTTTCTCATGAAGGATAGTGGTAAACTACCATTAATGAATCGAGAATGCTTGTCCAATATGCTCCATCCACATAATTCTTAATTTTTCAGTAAATTCAGTCTCATGGTTCGGCTCCGCACTCATTACGTGTCCTATGTAGAAGCATTCCTTAACAACTTTCAGTGCCCTGCTACCTACAGTCGCCGACCGATTTTTCGGATCTGGCGGGGACCGAAAAAAAGTACGAAAAATCGAACAGTCCGAAAAATTCGTTTTCGTCAAAAATCTGAAGTTTATTGCATCAGGCAGGTTTAAAAAAGTCCTTGATGCTGCCTTGCCTCAAACTACGCTTGGAGGAAATTTGGTTTGCCCGTATTTGCGCCAAGGTGACATCGTCGCCATAAACGCTCGACAAAATTGTCACCGCGTTGGCGATCTCCGCCGCCGACGGCTGCGGGCGGTCGTCGTTGTCGTCATCCGAGCCGCTCTCCGGCTCCGGGACAACCTGGCGAAGAATTTCGTCGTCAGTGGCCTCCGCGCACGAAACAATGTCGTCGTCCGCACGAGTGAAGTCTTTAAATGTCATTGTGGCAGGTAGAGAATCCTTCTTTCGCCTCCTCCCCGTGCGATGTGATGACGATAGTGCTGACCGAAGACGAAAAAACGGCATCCATCACCGCGTCTCTTAAAAAGCAAACACAGCCTCCGAAACTTAAAATATGGCGTGCGCATTCCAATCTCGGAGGCAGGAAAGGCATCTGAAGACCAAGCTTAGCCAAGCCGACGGACAATCCAACATGGCGGCGTTCACAATGGATTGGGGCGTGGCACAAAACGAGCGATTTAGTCCGAAAAATCGAACTTTCAGGGGCAAATTCGCCCGAAAAATCAGTCGAAACAATGCATTAGCTCTATGGGATCCCTGACGGTGCATTTATGAAGTCCGGAATATCCAACAAGTCCGAATTTTTGGAGTCCGGAAAATCGGTCGGCGACTGTATTTCAAAGTGCAGTTCTCTTCAGAGACTGTTGCATATTAGTTTTCCACATATTAATTTTCAGACATGCTCTTCTGTTTTCCATGTCTAACTCAGTAATCATGAGTTTCAATTCATTTCCAGAGTTACTCATTAATGCAATGTCATCAGCGAATCACAGGTTACTAAATTACTCTCCATTAACTGATATTCATAACTGTCCCTAAACTAGGGCCCTGGAAACCTCCTATAAACCAGCATTGAATAGCTCTGCAAAGACTGTCTCCTCCCTTGCAACAATCTTTACTTGAAATTTTGTCGCTTTCTTTATGAAAAACTATGATGGATTTGGATACACTGTAGATTTTTTCCAGTATGTTCGTACTATAGACTTCTATGCCCGGATTCCGCAGTGCCTGCATGACTGCCGATATCTCAACCGAATTAAATGCCCTCTCGTGCAGCGACTTGGCCTTAATATACATGATTGTGTGAAATGAAAGTGCACTACGTAGATGCAGACAGGATAGACAGGGATAAGCTCTTACTACCAACTGGATGTTTATTCAGAAAGCTGTGAAATATATACTGACACATAAAACAATTTCGTAGACACATACGATAAGACCAAATCACAAACCGTGTCTATGTAGTGCACTCTCATTTCAAACAATCTCGTATCACCAACTCGCCCAATCAACCATATTGGCAGCTTATTGTAGAAGCAAATGTTTGCATTAAAGGGGCATAATTTAACATAGGCTGATAGACAGGAACCAAGAAATAGGTGCAGTACTCTAATGGTGGTTTGAAGTACATATAACAGCATGCACATCCTCTTTTGGCCGACTCCGCATAAGCATCACTGACATCTCAAAATAGGCTTACTGATATAGAGCTTCCTTAAATTATGTTAATTTTGTTAGGTGTAGACTCAATTACTAAACCTGAGAAATTCTTGGACGTTTAAGACATTTAATGCACGCAGTTCTTGGCATACCATCATTGTTCACCTTACATCGTACTATTTCGATTCTGCCAACAAAGAGATAGCACACCGTGTCTTAAGCTGCCAATATTTATATAAAATTAACACTTACGTGCATTTTGCTTCACCGATGTCAAAACAGAGTTGACCCACAAGCGCTGCACTTTGGTCTCCGAGGCACTGTGAGAAAAGATGAAACGAACAATAAATACCGAAAAGCAGTGCTAACAGCGCGTATATTTTGCACAGTCAACAGCACAACAGATGTGAATCTTTTGTACTGATTATAGTCTCCTACATGTGTACACGCACATGCGAGTACAGCCATGGCCGTGTCTCTGTAAAGCGCTCGAGCAGCCAGTTTTCACTTTACGGCGTAACAGCTTGAAGCAGCTTTGGGCTCTGGCGAGGTGTGTCCGGAGCACGCTCGACCTAGTAGTCAGGCCGACCACGTCAGAGCCCAACACTGCCTCAAGGTGTCGCCCTGCAGAGCAAAAACTGGCTGCTTGCGTGCTCTGCAAAGACGCGGCCGTGGCTGTACATGCAGAGGTTCAACGAGATCAGCATATGCCACAATTATCACTTACCCCTGAAATGGGAACCCCAAGAAGTGGACCTTCACACATTCTTCCATAAATTTCTGAAGAGCTACAAATCTTCGGAAGTATCGACATCGGCACCCCAAAGAACCTGCAAGAATTACACATAAGCCACATAACTCCGCAAGAGCACATTGCAAAAATAAGCCAAGGTAGATTTGATGGCAGGGAATTGTGTCAAAACTAGTATATTAAATGTCACTATAACAAAGTTGCATCTCGCACAAAAATAAGTTCGCTATAACCAGAAATTCGTTACTGATGTATAATTTTAACACTGTATCTATTGCAAGATTGTTCTTCACTTACTTTGTTATAACCAATATTTCGTTATATCTGGGGTTTGTTATATCAAGGTAATAGCTAAACAGCCTGAGTGAATAAGCGCGTGTGCTCCAGTGGTCAGGATTTGCTTGTGAACACTATAGGTGAAGTGAGCAAGTGTTCAAAGCATTTTCAAGTAAACTTTTCAAGCAAACATCGAATGACAGCTTACAGACACACTAGCAACAACTATGACACAGACGCAATGACTATAAAGGAAAGGAAAGAAAAACAAAAACCGTATAATTTAAGGTACACTCACTTGCACAGGAAGTTATCCCACTTCAATGTTTCAATGTCCATGAGCATTGTTCGACTTGCGTTTGTGACGTCAGTGATATGAACACCCCCGTTGGTCCCTCCTGTGAAGTTCTAACTTGTAAAAAGAGATAAGATGCACAAACCCAGAAAAACCGTCAGTAAAACTACAAAGTGTCTCTCTTGCCAGACAGTTTCTCCCCAACAAGTAATTCCCAGTCACTGCTAGAGACTTCCATTAAGTAATTTAAGAACCCTTTACAATAGGCTACAGAATTCATGCACACATATACGCACATGCATAAGTACATTGCTAAATAAAAGCTCTCTCTACCACAAAGCACTAGGGTTAAGAAAAAGTAATGGCCAAAATGAAAACAATTTTGTTCATATTTTTCACACATAAGCCAAGAAAAATTTAAGGATGGCTGGATATGTGTAAAAGAAGTGTCTTGCTACCACTTCTGACATAGTTGACATGACCAGTATACAAGATATGCTCATGCACCCAGCCCATAATAAAACATGTATGTTTTTATAAAGAACTGGTAAAAAAATATATGCGTTTTGTCATTACTATAATCAGACGGACTGCATCAACTACAGGACATACACGGTGTTTATGTTTCTCCAATTAAATTCTGTTATGCACTTCCTGCGACCACGCTGTCCCGCAAACTTCTTTATCCCTTTTATAAATTGGGGAAAGAGCAACCACGTACATATATAAGCCACGAGTCCACTGTGCCAAACATGCAACGCCCTTGATCCATTGCCTCTTTTATTTCAGGAACATTGTCCATGAGCCACTTTAGCTTGACTGCACTGAAGTAGGTGCTCAAAGGAAGCCCACATTTCCTCTAGAAATAAAAAAAAAGCATATTGCAGCAAGTATGTAACATGACACAGCATCGCAACCACACGAACTCGAAGACATACACAAAAAAAGTTTGTGTACTTCTAATGATATTGCATGCAGTTGAAGGTGATGCAAACCCAAAGGTGACAACGATTTCCTTCCGTAAAAACACTGTAGACAACACTAAGAGTGAAAAATTGAAGCTTTACACAACACAAGCTGCTGAAGGAGTTTCCAGGATGCAGATTATACAGCTGGTAGCGACAGTTTGCAGTGGGAAAAATATGTGCTTCATAGCCTGTGTATTATGCTTCCCTTCTAATCTCTGAAAGAAATGTTTTGTCAGTAATAGCTGCGTTCAAGCGGTACGTTTTGCTCTTTACTTCATTAATGGCCTAGAAGGCCAAGTCCATCCAGAAATAGACACAAATACGTTAAAGCCATTATGTGCCAGCTTTCCGTAAACGACAAGAAAATGCTTCCACTAGTGTCAATGTGATTATCTTTCACGTAAGTTTGGAACGCCACTGTACACTACAAGCACCATCTCCAAGATGTTATGAAGGACTAACATTGACTTTCGAGGTGCAGGAAACCTAGCACAACCCGCGCGAGTACAACGTGCGAGCACAACTCGCACGTGTTTTCGATATAAAGCTTACTCAAGCGATAAATGCACTGAGACCTGCGTATTAGAAACTCGCTTTTAATGCTGGTCTTGTAACTGGCAAGTTTTGCCACCTAATGTGAGTAATCTTTATAGTCTATAATTTTCAAAATTGAAGAGGGCCCACAACACTTTATTAAGAAGCCATAATATGGATTCACTAAAAGAGCTTATTGTCTCACGAATTCACTGCTGCAAAAAAATTTTAAAATCCTTTCAGCACGAGTAGAGTTACAAAGATTTGCCACCACACACTGCAATCGCATTTTTTCTTCTTTCTTCCAGATGAAAGCGCTGGAAGCTAAGCAGGGAGAGATGGCAAGGGGGAAGTAAATGCAACATGCGCAACTTCTGATGTTGAGCACTTTTCCATTTTTGCTTTTCCTTAAAATGTGCGACTTTTCAGTGCAATCGCACGCACCCGCATAAACAAGTTGTGGCCTACTGCGGCAGCCCTAATAACAATCGAGCACGCCATGCTCTAATCAGACGATGGGCGATACTAGACCTCAAACACAGCGGCTTTTGAGCCTGTAGTGCGATTTGTCGAGAAAAAAGATAGAGTTCCAGTCGACTAAAAATTTATAGCAGGTTACAGGACACGTGCTGCGCTGTAATATTTGGCTTGCGTGTATGTTCTCGAAGGCCTTGACTACCGATTTTCAGCGTTTTCTGTCCACCCTCGAAAATTGTTGGAGGGGCCCCTATGAGATCAGTTGTAATCAGCCCATACCCAAATCGCTATAGCAATGCTAGGAACATTAGTGGCTTTAGAAACACAATTCTTCAAAAATGACAGACTGACACAGTGAGAATCGAAAAATTTGAAGTGGTTGCTAGCGAGCCTTCCCGATTCCATGGCTGCACACACTGAAAGTGCCACGTAAAATGTAATTGGCATTTCCCGTTTTGCTCAGCTGAAACAGGTAGAAATGCTGGTTAAGACCGTATTAAAAACACAGGCCATATCATTTACCTTGAGGTAGTTTTTATCATGGCCTGGGGTTTTCGACAGCAGGCTTTCAACAGTTCCCACCGTCCTGTTATCCAACCACACTGTAGTCAGCAAGAGAAAAAAAAAGGAATAAAATTTCAAGTTATATCAATGCTAACCTCAAAGACAGCATTAAATATTAAAAAAGAAACCAAGCCTTCCCGAACATTAACTGCCAAGGCCGAAATTAAGACTGCTGTAATGTCATGAAAATACACACGCATCAGCTACATTCTTGTGGCTCTACAAACTCAACAATGCAATATTTTAAATAGTAACATCATATATAAATCTACAAAAACACTTCTTTTGAAAAATAGGTGGCTTTCTTTATTATAGTAGATATAACTTGTCTGAAGCATTAGTATATTTAGATGTGAAGTATCGTCCCAAGGATATCATCACTATTATTAGGCAACTCTTTTATATGGCTTCAGCGGAAATTATACAATTATGAGACTCTAGTGTATATGGGCTTATAGTATACACATTCTATTTTCTTTGCCAGAAAACTAAAATGTGAAAAATTTCATACTTTGGAAACTTTTCTGACTTATACTACTTTACTACTGCAAACCTGTTTCCTACTGTTTTGTAACCACTCCACTTTGCTTATGCTGCGTAGTCTTTGAGTCAAAAATAAATCGAATGGGTATATATGATAATAAGGAATGTGCAACCATAATAAAACAGACTATTGAATTGCAACATTGCAACAATAATTATTTCGGTGACCAATTAATTAGGTGACATGGGTGACTGGAGCCACTATGTTGTAGTAATGCATTTCATTGATTTCTTCATCAATATTTCAAGCGACAAACAAGAATTAGACAGTCCCATTGATAATGCTATCAATCCTCACCCTAACCATGAACAAGGCAAAAAGTGCCATCTATGGTCAAAGCATCAATAAAGGCATCGCTACAAGATCTACATGACACAGCTGTCACATCTGTGCTTACCGATGGCATTGTACAGAGGCTTCCCCGTGTTCTTGTCCCAAACAATTGTTGTCTCCCTTTGGTTGGCAACACCAAGGGCTATAACACAGAAGTTATACAAATGACCTCCAACTGAACACGGACACTTTTGCCCCCTCCCCCTCCACACACAAAGGCTCCTGTTTAGAAGGCTATAACAACACTTCATGACAAAACCATCACATTTCATGGAGGTGGCATTAAAGTTTTTATAGAAAGCATCAAAATAAAAAACTCTATCCCCTTGTTTTAAAAACAAGGAGTCGTCCAAATGTCGTGCATAAATTTTATTATATCAGCAAAGTGTGCTAACAGAAGAGTGTTAATACAAATGTCTGAACGTTCTCTATGAGCAGAGGTGTTGATGGGTCACTGTCCAAAATCGTTAAATGTCACTACTGTCCCATCGTGGGAGCGGCCCGCCGTGTGCTAGGGCGCACGCCTTCGGACTTGTCAATAAAGTTTTTCCAAACCAAACTACGTGAAGAGGTAAACAGCACGACGCTCAGGCTGCATCCAATTTATGTGAAGCACCGAGCTATCACAACCGATGCACTGCACTACTAAACTGAGGAATATATTCATGGAAAGATGCCCATTTTGTGCCAGAGCTTGCTTCACATGTATACTGTAGCAAAAAGTAAAACACCAATGATAAGTACAACGACGACGTGGAGTGTTTCTGTCTCCATAATCTTCACCCCAAGTTGGCTATTTGCCACATCTTATCAATACGAAAATTGCACAAGGTATGAGCAAAAGGCAGGAGGCGCTAGTGGTTTAATCCTTTTGGAAAATACACCGTACGTCGTACAAGAGACGTTTATGTGCATGTCAAAGAAGTTATGTGCACCAACGCACACAGGTTACCGATGTTTAAATAGCAGGATAATGCTGAAGTTTCGCATGAGTACTGAACCAATAAATGTCTTGAAAAGAAAAAATCATCACCTAGCTTAACAGCAGCATGCATCTACAAGTGATTCCCATGTGAGTATCTCAGGAAACTAACATGTTTTGTCACAAGTCAACAGTTACATACTTGACAACATAACCATAAGTTATCACAATTAGATTGAAAATTGCACAAACTGCTGCTACAATGACTTCATCTCAGATGAACTGAGAAAGGCTGATGAATTATTTGGAATACAAATGAAGTTATAGTAGAAGAATGTCGTGATACCAGCACGCGAAACGGAACACCAAATGCATTCAATTTCTATTAAGGCATTATCTTACTTATGTGTAGTAACACGTTACAACAGCAGGTTACAAAAATTATTATGTAAATCATAATAATCAAGAAACTGCCACTGCAGGCATTTTAAGAAGTGGCATTCAATAGAACGGGGAAAATGGCTTACCAACGATATCCCGATGGTCAATCTCGAGCGCCTTTAGTTTATCGACAGTTTTTTCTATACATTCATGGACAGACGCCACGATTTCATGCGGGTCTTCTTCCACCCATCTAAAATTGTGATTAAAGCGGGTTGATAAAAGAGTTTCAGCACAGGGTAACCACTCATTCGTGGGAGAAAGATGTGAGCTGGAAGTTCTACACACCCATCGCTTGGAAAAACCTGCTGTATTTCCGTTTGATGGAAGGCAATCAATTCAGATGTCTTGCTCGCGAAAACCTAAATCACAGAAAACACAACAGTCAGGACGGTTTCCCGTACAATGGCTTCTATGGATACACACATGTTTAATGAAGGCCTCGGGGCCTGTTTTTTGTCGCACACAAAAATTCCGAGAGCCGTGAATGGATAAACAAAATAAATTTTTGCATAGAGCGGTCAGGTTTCCTCAAGATACTGTCAGGCAATACAAGGAAGACGGAGCCGTGTTTTTCTGAATTTATCCTCATAAGGTCAGCGCCGGCAAGCAGACTAGTAGAGCCAACGACCTTGGAAGCTAAATTATGCATCACAACAACGAGTAAATACACGGGAGGAAGCAACAACAGCTGTGCAAGGATGCTACACGAGAGGTTTCGGCTGCACACGTGAAGGTCGAGCAGCGGCTTCGGTGAGCACGTGCGCGAATTTCAATAGTTCAGAACTTTAGAGGACAGGGCGAGACTCACCAGAAATCTAGTGCTGCTTGTTCCTTGATCGATGGCCCCAACAAGAGGTCCATGCTTACCGCGCACAATGTTTGTCTTCGATGCCATCGTAAGCACGCCAAATCGACCTTTTAAGTGTGGTGGTCTGGTTCTCAATAGGAGTTCAATAAGCATAGAAGACAATCGAGGCAGCACTCAGAACGCTGGGGCATTTCCAGCTGGGACGACACGCCTACAACGGCCTAGAGAGAGCTTTCAGCATGTTTTTACATATACAACTGCAACGGGTACAAGCCGCTCAACGGCAGCTATCGCACGCCGCCAGCCGCATGGGCCGAAGGGTAATTCTACATATAGTTGCGAAACAGGGAGAAGCACTGGACTGAACTGCCGTGTTATCACGCCGCTAGGGAAAACTTGAGCGTATCGCGAGCGATGTTTGCAGCCGCGAAGTAGGCGCTCGCGTTGCGCCACTATCTACAGTCGTCATTTAGCCAACTATTACTTAGAGGAGTACTGATACAATTTTTAAATACTTTCGGGTTGTTGCTTTACGGTAGGTCAACACCTTAGAAAAAAATGAGTTTTAAAGCTGCAATTATGGTTTTGGCTTGCAGGGCTTTAGAAAAATTTCGGATTAAGATGATTCAATAACTAAAAATGTAAAAAAAATAAATTTCCAAATTCAAAAAGTGCCAAAATATGCTTGATGCGCTTAGAGTGACAATTGAAAAACTTTTGGTGTGACTCAAACGTGACTTGGCAGCTACGTAGTGAGGACAACACTCTGTGCATCTAACCTTCACAACCATCATATCTTGAAGCCTAAGTGTGTTATGAAAAAAGAGTGAAAAAGTTGACATTTGGCAAGCTTGTTTTGCACGCAGTTGGCCATATTACAAAAGTGTTGCCGTTTGTTATCAATAATTCTGCTTGAATGCAGAGCTGCACCTGTAAAGAAACAGCACGCAAAATTTTATGTGAAAATATTGGTTAGAAGCAGAGCTATCATTGTTTGCGTAACCGCAGGATCCGAAAAATCACGTTTTGAGAAAAATGGATTTAAAGAATTGAACCAATATTCATGTAAGAAAGAAGCATGCAATACGCCCGAAATTCACCAGGCTCATAACTTGGGACCTCTTTTGGAGTGTTACAAGCGTTTTTTTTTTTTCTTTATTGACACAAAAGAAATATTTTTCTCTAGCTCGTATTGTGTCATCCCCGTGCTCTACAAAGGGTTCGCGCTTGTCATGCTGAATTGCTAACTTACGTTTACGCTTTTTTTTTGTACTTTGCCATGTTTCTTGAAATATCATAAGCAGAAATACATCGAAAAACTCGAAATGGCATGGAAAACAACACTGGCTGCTGAAGGAAAACCCGCGCGATTTGACTCCCTCAATGCTTTGCCAGCAGTATTGTAAAGCCAGCTTTTGCCCTCCGAAGATCTGAGACACCTGCTTTTTATGGGTGAATTAAAGTTCCTTAAGGCGTGGGGTCTGTCCATCACTTGTATGTACGTAGTAGTACGTAACCACCGGTGACACATACCCGCTCTAGAGCAGCTATACGTGCCACAGGGGATGCGAGATGGGAGATGGCGATACTTGGAGCGTTCTCTAGATGGACGCACAGGCGGATGGACAGACAGACTAGCAGATGGATGAACGGTTGGATAGACGCACGGACGTACGGTCGGATGGACGTACGAACAGACAGACAGATAGATGGATGGACTCACGGACGGTCGCATGAGCAGAAGGACGGACGGACACATGGATGGACGAACAGATGGTCGCGCGGATGGACGGAAGCAAGAACGAATGGACGAACGGAAGCACGGACGGGCTGACGGATGTTTCTCCCCACCCATCATCATTCACTGCGTGGACATGCTGTGATTTTTTTGTGGTGGTGCCCATGCACCTAGACATCAAGTGGCTTTGATTTGTTAGTGTCCAGGCTACGGTAATTATATATTAAAAGATGGTTCATTCCGAAGAAATAATCCACAGACACCTGTATCGGTGACATAATCTCTAATGAAATTTGCCTTTAATTCGAGGCTTACTAAAGAAAACTAAAGTAACACAAGGACGCACTTAGAGTATTATTTGACCCTAAAAGGTAGCCACGTTAAACTCGTTGGGCGTGCGACGAAAACGCTCCTTCTCAGTCACCGAACGCCAAAGCTTATTATGCCCCTAGTAAGATGGCTGCCGTAGCCGGCATCTTACGGTTGGCACGGCTTCATTCGTGGGCAAAAATTTTCACTCCAGCGATTGTTTTTAAACCTTCTTGGCTGCAACCGAGTAGAGAAAATTTTAAAATAAAATGAGAATGCAATGTCCGCAAGCTTTCTAATGTACTTAGATAATGTATCATTACGTAATATGTATATGAAAAATGTTTATTACGAGATTACAGGTGTTGTGGAAACGGAAACAATCAGTTTCGGTTTCGGTTGCATTCATCAGGGGTTGAAAAAATGGTGATAACTTTTGAGCGACTTAAGATAATTACATAATTTTTCCATTGAAGGGACTCTAAAGTCCAATAACAATTTACTTCAGAGTGAAAGCTCAGTGTATGACATCTAAAACGACAATATTATCAACAACAGTGCCCTACTTACCGAGAAATTAAGATAAATGCACAAGAACACAATCGCCGCAGTAGAACATTCTCGACATGATCCCGATGACATCAGACGGACCACCTACAATTAATCACTAGTAATCAATCTAGCTCCACTATATAAAGAACCTTCCGTGCATTAAGAGACGCAATAAAATGCTTCGTTTCATCTCTGATTCATGAAAAAGAGAACCACCGGGCGTTACTATAGTGAATGGCACGAGTGGTTTAAAAATTCGATTTTCGCGTAGTTACATTGGACAGGTTGTGCAATATAGCGGGGTGCAGTTGAACCAAAAACGTTTGCACCATGGCTTCCGAGATTGCGGGCGCGCAGCGGGTTTCTCTCCAGCCGTTCCAATCGCACGGAGAGCGCGTGTCTTTCATTTGATTGATTGATATGAGGTGTTTAACGTCCCAAAAGCACCTTATGATTATGAGAGACGCCGTAGTGGAGGGCTCCAGAAATTTCGACCACTTGGGGTTCTTTAACGTCCACCCAAATCTGAGCACACGGGCCTACAACACTTCCGCCTCCATCGAAAATGCAGCCAGCGCAGCCGTGATTCGATCCCGCGACCTGCAGGTCAGCAGCCGAGTACCTTAGCCACAAGACCACCGCGGCGGGGCGTGTTCCCATGCTTACCGGGAAGTGTTGACAACATATAATTCTGTTCATCATGTGAATGTCCTCGAACACCGATGCATTATTTATCAGAATTCCTGAACACTGCCTGTCCCATATTATTGAGGCTGGTTGAGCATATACCTGCAGTTGTGCCATTGCAATAAAGAGGTGTGTCAAAAGAACAAATCAGTCTCGTTTCTCGATGGTTTGGTTGGAATGAAGGCTAAGAGAAATGAACACTGATATGAACTGCCAACAAACTGCTTGTAATCCGAAGTTACAAAAGAAAATGACAAGAATTGTTCTTCAGATCCAGCACAGCATCTGGAAAATTCATTCTGTTTTTATTTATAGTTTCAGACAACAAAATAATGCACGGAAATATTGTCTTTCACAAGCCTTCACAGAGCAAGCGGTCTTGCGCAGAACAGTTTTACCATATGAAGTACCAATAGAAATCTTGCTAGCTTTGTAACTTCTTCAAGCAAACTAATTTGTGAGCCTTAACCAACGCTTCATAATTTGTAGCGATATAAAGGCATACTTAGTGGACAGAAATAAGTTATCTATCCATGAAGCTTGATTCACACCTTCTGGAGCAGCTACAACATCTGACCTTGTTGAAAGTTATTTCGCGTTTGCATGTACGATACAGACATACTGCTCTGTGCACGCTCCGCATTTTAGCGGTTAAAGCATACAAGCGCCGTTGACTTCTACACGTTTAAACTACCTTCAAAGGACACTTATGTAATAGGCAAACGTACTAAAATTTGAGGCAAAAATAACAATAAAAGAAGGAAGCGAATTCATTCTTTATTCATCTGTACAGAGATCATTGAATGCGCACTCATATTAATTGTTACGCTTCATCTGATCGGTGCAGTGAGGTATACGGGCGGCGCGAAGCACTAATATATATATATATATACATATATATATATATATATATATATATATATATATATATATATATATATATATATATATATGCGGTGAATATTGAACAATCCAACGGGCAGTCTATTCTCGGGAAGTGAGCAAGCATCGTTCGTTAGGGCACTTGTCAAGTGCAATCCTTTTCTCTTATACGCAACACATACCAAGACCCTTAACTTGGCTTGTGCGCATTTGATGTAAACAGCTAATTCGCGGCATGGCGCTGTGATAAAATATCACGCCATATATACGCTTGCTTGATTTTGCCTCTCCGTTTTGTCAAGTCTTCCTTATCTTGCATTTGTGTAGCTGTATTCAGTGACTATAGTCGACGGCAGCTGACAATGGCGTAGCCACAAAAATTCTTTCAGCGCCTCCACCTGCCCCCCCCCCCCCTCCACAAAAAAAAATGTTATGCTTTCTTCATGTCATATAAATGAACGCGCGCATACAGAAATTGCTTGTTATGTGAATTGGGTGAATTGGAACATGTCGTTTCCATTGGAATTCAAACACAAGACAACAGACAAGTCGGATAGCACGTATAGACGCAGTGAGTTCTTAAAATAAAATTTATTTGAAAGAGCGCGCACACATATATAGACATATACAAACTCACGCACGAACATTGGTAAAGGCGCCTCCCCCCCCCCCCCCTCTCAAAATTGATGACTGCGCTTCTGCTAGCAGAGTACCTTACAGGCTTTTCAACAGCGGGACTCTGATTACAGTGCAAAATTGTCGGCTCCGGCTCTTTTTCACTTCTCTGCAAGGCACAGAAATAATATGCCTATTTGCTTTTCTACTCACTAATTCCTTTTTGCAGGGATGGGACGATGTGGATAAAGATTTTACGCAACGTTATGTTTAAAAAAATATTCCAGAGACCTTAATGTTTCCCTATCGTTTCGATAGGGAAGCGTAAATAATTCGTGCACATGTTCATAAAAAAAAAGAGTTTTGAAGACTTACAAACACTTCTTACGAATGCACGAACAATAACGTCGAATTGAACGCCCGAGCCAGCCAGCAGCAACAACTGCGTTGCCAACGCCATATGCAACCGATAGACGGGTGTCATGCGTAACGAAAGATCAAAGAATCAGTATCGCCTAACAATGGCGGCA